CAATCTGGTCATTGATGACCCCTAGTCCCTTTGCTATCCGAGTAATCAAGGAAGTGCACTCAACAGGAGCAGAAAATCTTATACTTTCTAACCATTGCCTTATCATACATTTCACAGAAGCAACTTTGATCTTTCTAACCATGGTAAACATGATAATTAATTAATCCCCCCTAATGGGTCTAAGATTACCTCTAGGAAACAGAGTCATAGCAATCCATATGTGCATAAGCCTAAGTGTAGGATTATGGATATTATTCGTCCTAGGTTTCTTGTAAATTGAAGCACCAGAAATGTCTTCCCAAAACCTATTTTTCTCGAACCCGGAAATTCCTTTCTGGAGATCGATTTTACAGGAATCGTGAAAACCAAGAAGTGTACTTAATCCTTTCTATGAAATTGTGTGTTCCTTATGGAAAAAGCGAAAGGAAATACCATCTTCTGTTGTTTCTTTCAAGGTGAACAGAAATTGCAAAGTAAGTAAACGAGAACCATGCTCATTTACCACAACAAATCTCTGCCAACCAACAGCTTTCCATATAGCATGAAAGTCAGTATCCATACCTATGTTTTTCAGCAGCTCCGGAGAGTATTCTCGCGTGTGAGCATACTCCCGGTCTCTCAGCATGTAGTAGGCTTGTCTTTCCCAATCGTCGACAAGGTCAAGGTCGGCGTCGCTCAAGAGACATTGCGGAACGTCGGCGTCCTCCATCGAGACATCGGCTGATGAACGAGCACTTGACTCGTCATGATGACTTGATGAAGAGCCGGATCCCTTGAACAGACGAGACAATCGCCTCCTCGTTTTGCACAATGGAGTAAGAACGGACTAACTTGGCGGGGGTTAGAATAGCAAGAATTTCACCCGCCGGTTAGTTTCACCAAAGCAACTTGTATGTATGCAACTAAGTATTTGAATTTTGAGGGAAACTATCAAAGCTGAATGAATTAAAGAGCAAAGTTTGGAGAGGGAATGAAAATGTGTTGGAATGGGGTGAATTCCCTCTCACAGCCGGCAGGCTTAAATAGGGCAGCCACAACAGTCAAAAATGACATGTTGGCCCCATTAGCCGTTGCCCTGCCAAAAATGGCATGTAGCCGTTGCCTAGCCGGTTCGGCCGAACCAACCCCTGGTGGGCCCAACCGGCCCCACTTTTGACCGTTGGATTCAAACGGTCAGTGTGGTCATGGCACAATGAATTTTCGTTGAAAATTTTATTTTAGTTTGCTCTGAAAAATTCATTTGAATGAATTTCCTCAAAATTCAAAATCCTAAATGCAAATTTTGAAATTCAAACATGTGCTGATACAAAAATTCAAATTGATGAAAATAAATATGCGGATACATACAATTTACCTATTAGTGAAGGTCGCGTCATTGTGGGTCTGACGTGCAAGACCGTACCTTCTTTCGGTTCAGTTCGCGAATTTTCCACCCATCTCCGGAGGTGATGGAGTGGGTGTCTTTGGTTTTTACTTCCACACCTTCTTTGGTTTTGGTGTGGAAGACGGCTTCTTCTGAGCCGGCTGCTCTAACTTTTTGGCCGGTATACTAGATTTTACCAGCGTCTTCCAATGACAGTTGCTGGGAAACATTGTTTTCTTCACTAGGAAATTCTGCATGAACTTCACCAGGCTGTCCGTCTTGGGTGGTTCCACTTCGACCACTTGGATGTTTTGCGGGTTTGGCCCAAACTTGATTCTGACCATGGAGCACTGTTCAGTCCTTGGCTGACACTCAAACTTTTCTTCCTTCTCGTTGATATGGAAATGTATACTTTCCGTTCCCACGTCAATGCTAGCTCCGGCGGTGCTAAGGAACGGACGCCCCAAGATCAACGGCGTTTCCTTTCCCGTGTCCATGTCCAGCACCACGAAATTAACTGGGATGAAGAAATCCCATATCGTGACCGGCACAATCCTCCACTATGCCTGCCGGGTAACGGACTAATGAATCGGCCAGCTACAGGTGCATCGGTGTTGGTGCCAACACCATGAAGTTAAGTTTGTCAAAGACGTCCTTTGGGATGACCTGACACTTGCTCTAAGATCACACAGGGCTTGCTCGAACTGTTCTGTCCCGATTGAGCAGGTGATCGTAGGACACCCCGGATCTTTCTTCTTGTCCGAGAGCTTGTGGAGTGTGACGTTGCTGCACTGCTCCGTCAGCTTGACCACCTCCGTTGTTGGGAGCGGTCTCTTGTTGTTAAGGATATCCTTGAGATATCATGCATATGTTGGCACTTGCATAGCATCCACAACGGCACGTTGATGTGGATTTTCTAGATCACTTCAACAAAACGAGCGAACTACTCATCCACTGACGGTTTCCTACTCCGTTGAGGAAATGGCAGCAAGCGTGTGTCGCAATACTCCTGCGGCATAGTTTTCTCTGGCTGAACCTCTTCATCAGCCGAATTACCAAATGGCGCTTCCTTAGTGATACTGCTAGTCCCTGCAGGGTTAGGATATGGCGGAGCATGAGTGGATTTACCTCCCCTCGTTGTGATCGCCTTGACATTTTTAATGGAGGATTCGGGCTGCTCTGGAATCCTCCCAAATTCAGTTGCAGGTACTAATGCAACTAATTGAGCCAGCTGGGTTTCAATCATCTTGTTAAAGCTTAGTTGGTTTTGAAATACAGAAGCAAAGCCATCTAGCTTGACATTTATGTTCTCTAAGACCTTGTCATTAGCAGCTAGCTTTTTACTTAAAGCATCTGTGATTTTAGCTTGCGCAAAGACGAGATCTTTCAAGGAGGGTGTTGACGGTCATTATCGACCAGTTTCGACCGTCAATATTATCCAATATATGAAGACTAGCTATGCTTGCAATGCTTAATTCACAAATAAAATATATACTTCCACTATGTGCTATGCTACTAACATGTATGCGGAGGAAGCACTCATAAATGAAGAGAAGAAGGTGGAAATATATCGATCAATCAGTCGAAAGTCTGCCGGTGACCTGCAATTGTATGAGAAGGCCCAAAAGTCCAATTTAACAATCACAAATGGGCCTAGAATGCATATCACTGATTTAGGGGGTCCGTCTGCCAGTCTCTTGGAAGAAGCTGGGGGCCAGAAGAGCCCATAGGGGGTCGACTGACCCCTTGTTGAGCCCAATCCAGCCGCATTTTGGCTAGGAGATAAGGGAGGCCGAGGAGGAAGCAGCAGGCCAAAAACCAGGCCTGTTGGGCCAAAAACCTAGGGTTGGTTCGGCCAAACCTTGATCTCAGCTGTTGGCTCTCCCCTTTGGCGTGGAGGCTCCGGATGAACTCCTGATGGCGGTTGCGGGGCATTTTTGACAATTCCTATGCTCTACAACCGTCATTGGGAGCTATAAAAGGACCTCACCTCCTTCACTTTCAACACACACTCAAGCAAGGATTGAAGGTCCATTTCTCCAAAGTTAGAATTAGTATCATACTAGTGGAATAGAATTAAAGTAGTTCCGAGTCCGCGGAAGCTTCGGGAAGTTCAGTAAAGTTCTTAGCTTTTCCTTTCTTCTTTTGTAAGACTTCCTTTTTATTAATATAATGTTTCTTCTTTATACAAGTTTAATACTTTATTCCAATCATAGAATATGAGTATCATTCTTAGTTTATTTATAATCAGTATAATCTTAGTAGTTAAACCTTCTAGGATATGCATTGATGCTGGTATAATGTCTAATTACCGGGTCATAAGTCTGCTCTGGCTAGGCCAAGAGCTATGGCCCGGGGACTCAGATGCTCTGCACCGATTGCAAGCCTATAGAGTAATAAGTAGTAACTTAAGCATGTGGTTTAGGTTATCACTTATCATTATTTGGGGGTATATTCGACGGGAGAGTAGCAGGCCGCTGATGGTGACAGTTCAGTATGGGCGTCTTCCCCGCAGTTTATATTTCTACATACAATTTCCTGGGGTTGGATACACCTATGTATCCTACTTCGGTTGGAGGATTATAACAGGTTGTCGTAAGAAACTCGGCAACCCGGGGTAACTTTGCGATGCATCGGGAGGGCATAGCTGAGTTCTGGCTTAGCTATGTTGTATACTAGAAGTACATGAGTGAGACATTTCTATTCTATTTCCACTTAGTCATATTTAGGATAAGGAGGAGTTAGCGGAATCCTTAGCTGTGTGTCACTCTGCCCTTAAGCTTAACTTACCCATGCATAGATCTTGATGTATATAAGTAATATATAAACTATTAGCATAGTACTCTCTTATCATATCTTCCCTTGGGATAAAATAAATACGATACCTTGGAATACTCCCTGGTGAAATGATATATTGGTATATCCGTGCGCTTGCGGATCACATATGTAACCATAACATACCAAGGTTATTTCTAGTGCTATTGCTGGGAACTATATTTCTAGTAGTGTTGCTAAGAAATACCAACAAGCATTTCTGGCGCCGTTGCCGGGGATGATAAATGATTAAGAGTTTACTACTCGTTAATAATTTCATATTTATCTGTGTATAGTCACTGTCCTTTGTAGTCAAACATTGTTTGTTTTCTCTTTTATGTGAAAACAGGGTAGTGCATGACTGGTTTGGATTTGCTGATCAGTTTCAAAGAGAATCCAGAATCACACCTGAGAAGAACCAGACCCAGAGTCATCTCTCCTCAAGTGACTTTATCACTAACCAGATAAATCATACCAACGTCATCAACACTTAACGATATGGCTGAGAAGACCCTTCACGAGTTCGCTGCTCCCTCCGCTGACAACGTGCCCGTTGGACTTTGAGTTGGCATGGGAGATGGTGACTTTGATATGAAAACCAGCCTAATCAAGATGGCGCAAGCTTGCCCGTTCTGTGGCAAGCCTAATGAGGATGCAAGTGCTCATCTGCACAAATTCCTAGAATCGGTAGCACGGAGTCACTCTAGATACTATCAGGCTCTGACTGTTCCCGTTCTTCCTCCTCGGGAGAGCGAAACAATGGTTCTACGCCAACCGTGCAACGACATTCCTCTCAAGATTCTTCCCGATGGGTAAGACCAATGCTCTTCGTGGAAGAATATCCAGTTTGCAGCGGACGAGGGATGAAACCATTCTTGAAGCCTGGGAAAGGCTGCAGGAATACGTCACCGCCCGTCCTCATCATGGAATGCCCGAGTGACTCATCCTGCAGAGTTTCTTCAACGGATTAACCCCCTCGTCCTGGGATCACCTGGATGCTGCTGCTGGAGGGACATCCTTCTCAAGAACAGTCAGATGCCAACCGATTGAGAAGATGCTCTCAAATATGGGGTGGAATGAGGAATGACTCCAAACCCGTCAATGTGGCATGTACACCGTCAAGTGGACGAAAATGCTAGCCACTCAGTTCGATCTCCTTTTGAAGAGATTAGACAACAATGAGAAGGATGCCAATCAGGGTACCGTTAAGGCTCTAGGCTCTCACCCGACATGTGAGGTCTATGGCAGTACTGGTCATTCTAGGATGGATTGTCCGGAAACCCGTGAGGACGTCATGGTCATGAACAACAAAAACGGGTATCGTCCACAAGGAGGCCGAGGATGGAGCTTTGCTCCATGGGGTGGATCAAGAACGAACCGAACCCACAAAGAGGTCAAGGAAAAACCCCGAAGGACGGATAGCCTCATCGTTTTCATGATGAGATTCTTGGAGCAGGAAGAAATGAGAAACCGTCAGTACCTTAAGCCGGCATCCAAGAAGCCGAGAATACAGGCCGGTCAACCTGTGTTCCCAGTTACGAAGAGGCCGCCGCCCGCACTTAAGACAAAGAAGGTGTGGCTGGTTAAGGAGAAGGCACTCGTTCCTGTACCTCTGGAACTGGGTGCCTCATCGAGCTAAATACGTCGGAGGTACGGTCGTGCTCGTCAGACCTGAAACGACGCCGCCCTTGCCAACAGGTAAATTGGTAGTTATCTCATATTTATTTTCCATTGCATCAAAGCATGTTTGAATTTTTCAAAAACATGTATTGAGAATTGGATTTGAGGCAATTTCTTCCAATGAATTTTTGTGAGCAAAATAAAATGCAATTTTTGGCAAAATTTTGCACAGCCACCTCCACACTAGCCATTGGAACCCAATGGCTAAATGTGGGGCCGGTTGGGTCCACCAGGGGTTCGGCCGAACCAGCCTGGCACCGGCTGGCTGCAAATTTTTTTGCAGGGTAGCAGCTAGTGGGGCCCACATGCCATTACTAGCCGTTATCCATACACTATATATGAAGCTCGGCTGGGAGAGGGAAGTCACACCACTTTAACTCATTTTCACTCCCTCTCAAAACCTTGCTCTCAAAATTCATTCAAAGTTTTGCAAGCTTGCCTAAAATTCACACAATTTGCTGCATTTAGTTTAGACACTTTGCATATACAAGTTTGCTTTAGTTCGGTGCAAGGCTAATCGGCGGGTACATGATTAACCCCCGTCCGAGTAGTCTTGTATTCTTGCTATTTGCTGTAGCTATGAAGAAACGACTTTCGGGCATATTCAAGAGATGATCAAGCACACGGACAAGCCGACACGATAAGCGGAGTACACCTTCTTCCGCAGATGCATCCATGGAGGAGGCGTACGTTCCACCGAGGTTGTACGACAACTCCGATCTTGACCTCGTGGGCGACCGGGAAATGCAAGCCTATCATATGCTGAAAGACCGAACGTGTGCTCAGACCTGAGCATACGACTCGACCTTCTGAAAAGGATAGGTATGGATGCTAATTTTCATACTATTTGGCGTGCTATAGGTTGGGATAAATTTGCATGTGTAGACGAGCCGGGTTCCCGTTTGCTTACCATGTAGTTTTTATGTACCTTGCTAGAGGTAGGCGATGGTGTTACTTTCCAGTTATTCCTTGTCGGCACCCGGGGATGGACTTCCCAAATACCCGGAGCGTACACCGTACTAGTCCCATGATCAGTGGCTAGTACACGCATCCACAACCTTGTCATCATATCCACACATAATACACATACAAATAGATAACAAGGTTCACATATCTTAGCGAGTGCACAAGTCATACAACATAGATAGGGCCGACCGGCCAAATGAACAAGTTTAAACGCAGCGGAATAAGAGTAGCAAAATATAAAGTTCTTCGGTATGCCCATCTACCAAACCACCACAGGCAATCGACTAGGAATCACCCTAAAAAGAACCATCCTCGAAACCTCCGGTACCCGGTGCAAAGTACTCGTCACTAGGCATCTCATTTCCTGCATCAAGCTCTAAAAACAACATGAGGTGGGTCAATACAAACGTATTGGCAAGTCCTACCCAAACCTTGGGAAGCCTATGTCTATTGCAAGCTGAGATCAAATGAGGCTATGTTTGTGGACTAAATTTCATCATAAAGCAAATTTTGATTCACAATAGTAAGTAGTAATATATTGCAAGGAAATTTGTAAAGTAATAAGTAAACAATAGTAGTAGTAACATAAGCATCATATTAATATCATCCTTGTGCCCTCCAAGGCAGCAAGTAACCATTTTACTATCAGCCCACATTAGGCAAAGTCATCACCGATTTCCCACCATGCCAATTTCACAAAACATTTATTAAACCACCAACACTATACTTGTGTCATTTCACCAAGTCGCTCATGACCGTGAGCACGACTAATTGATTAGTTCAACACCCTGCAGAGGCTGTGCACTGTACCCACATGACACAAACTAGCAACCATGTAAACCATGTCACGCGATACCAAACGGTACCCGATTTGCTAGCATATGACGAAGTTACTACATTACTCAAGCCTAACCTTGCATGAGCACAGCAAGTGTATACCCACACTAGGAGCAACCCTAGTGCCGCTAGTCCAGGGGTCCCTCACTGGCACTAGCATCGTGAAGCGAACCATCCGTTCCCTCAACGAGGCACTTAACCGTTATATTGGATATGCTTAGACGCCTAGGCACAAACCGCACTAGGTTGGTCCTATAAACCATCATTCCGACTAGTCCATACCACTACATCCTCCCAATGCAAGGTTAGACATTAAGCAACTTAAGGTTACCCCATAAATAACACATGTGGTTGCACTGTAAATCTTAGTTGGTGACACATAGCTCGGTCCTTAATCGACTCGGGCGAACACTCCCCTATCGGTATGCAACTACCACCATATGCACACCACTTGCCGCCCAAGCCTAAAATCATCATTTTTCAGGTTTCAACTTCACAAATAACAGAGACGACACCTCTGTCCAACATTTTCAAATAACCCAAATTTTGAAGAGTGAATGATCCATCGTTTGTAACATACAAAACTCTAAGCATGGCTAAGCAATAGCTATATTAGTAGCACAAATGTACCCAAATTGGCACTTGGATAGTGCCACAGCCATTCCTAGATGTATCAACAGGAAGGTAATCAATAATCAAGGAGGATAAGTGCAGCAAATAGGAGTTGTTCTACCGAAATCCCACATTTTGCAATATCGCATGCAACTTATAAACAATATAGCATTTGAAAAAATATAGAATTCAACATGTTCAAAGGAGGAATTAAATAGGACTTTCCTTGCTCAGTGAACTCCTCACAAGTCTCAGGTTCCTGCTCGCACTCCTCTACGGCTGCAACTTCGTTGTCTATTCAAATTTAAACGAAATTCGAATGAACACCAAATAAACACCAAAAATTAAAAATAATCAAATATGCATGGTTCTGGTACAGTAGATGGGCGATGATTTTAGATGAAGTTAGGTGAAAGAATCATTTAAATCCGAGTTCGTATGCCATATATATAAGCTTTCAAAGTTTAAAATCCTGAAATTTGCAAAGACTACTACTCACTGTTTGAAAATTCGAATTTAGCTGTACATCTGCGTGATTTTTCTGCAAGATTTATTCCAACCATTTTAAAGAGAACATCATGAGGATCACACTGAAATTTGGTTCATTCAAATCGGAGTTAAAATGAATTCCCTGTGATTTTTCAAAGTTTCAGCATTTTACAGTGTAAAAATAAATCTCGGAAATCATTTTTCTAGTTTTTCCTTTATTTGACAGTGGGGCCTACATGTCGGGTGGAGCTTAACGTGAGTGAATACATAATGCAGAAAAACTCCCCAGTTATAGCTATTTACGGATGGGTCCTTTTCAGATCAAATCTCCTCACAGAAAATATGCATTGGTATCCCTGTGTGATTTAAGAATTACAAATAGGTCATCATCTTCTTCCTACAAACAGATCGATACAGGAAACATGGCTGCCATGGGAGGTCTCGCAGCCAGGCAGCGGGCGAAGCGGCTGCAGCGAATACGTCCTTAACCAATCCTCTGAATGGAGCCTATAGCAGATGAGAAAGCTCATCCCGGGCACGGTTTGGGTGGAAGCGGTGAGGGGAGCTCCGGGGATGGTGTTCTGCTCCGGCGGCGAGTGGCGTCAGCCGGGGTGCTTCTCCGACGATGGAACCTGTGGAAAGTCGAGGGGGAAAGTCTTGTTGTGGTCCTAGGAGTTTGGTGGCGAGAGGGATTGAGCTATAGCTCACCGTGGCAGCGGATCGATGGTGAAGGCGGCGGCGGCGGTGTTCTGGCCGACACAAAGAACGTCGAAGAGGCAGCGTTGCCCGGCGGTGTTTCATCTGAGGACAAGGGTAAAATGGGTTCAGTGAGGGATGCCAAGAAAGATGACGCGAACGGTTTCTCGCGAGGCTCACCAGAGGGAAATCAATGGCAGCGTGGGCTCGCCGGCACCGACGCGGGCGCTCGCGTTCCGGCCGTCCCAAGGGACTTCCTTCCATGGGCTCGGTCTATGGTCTCGTCTCTGTCTCTCCGTTCTCGAGCAGCGTGGCGATGGAACAGGACATCTGGACGGATGAAGGAGGAGATTTGATCGGGGCGCGGAGATTTGGCCGGAACGACTTCGTCTACTCTCAATGGAGCCGTACTCGTGTGACGATTGGGGAGAATGGCGCGAGGTGGATGATGGGACGGAGACACGGTGTCTAGGCCCACCTGCAGAGACTTCTAACGGCTAGTCTTTGCGGAGAAGGCTCGGCTTGGCGTGGTGGAAAACTGAGTGGTGTAGTTTTCTTCTCCAAAATAAGACGCATGCCACATGTTCGACGAAATGCCTACAAGGACAGGGAGAGAGGAAGAGAAGGTGGGAAGGCTGGGTGGTGACCTG